TTTATGGTCTTTTTATTTCAATAAATAAGATCGAGCTCAGGGATGTGGACTTACAAAGCAAGGGATCTACCACTAAGGCAAATCGTGAGCTCTTTTTATTTTTAATTTGAGATAGTGTCTCACAATATAGCTGTTTTCAAAATTTCAATTCCCCTGTCTTAAACTCCCTACTATCTGGAATGATAGGGAGGTTCTTGATGTCTACAAACATAGCTTTTATGTATATGTCAAAGTTATATCTTTGTAAATAAACATGAATATTCTACTGAGATTTTAAATTATTTCTTATATCAGACGTTAGAAATCACTGGCAACTCAAATAATTTTGTAATCATCTACTACATTAAACTCTGTGTTAAGAGATAGAAATAAAATCTGCAATAATATTTTTCTCATATCATCAAGGAGCTTATAGCCTACTGAGTGAGTCTCTTCTGCAAATAGATAAGTCAATATGATATAAAACTACTGTGCTAAAGTATTCCTTGAGGATTACAGGCATCAAAATGACTACCAAATAGATCTGAAATCACATTTTGAGGGAGTAATGGTTTGATTTATCAAAAATTGTAAATATTTAATTAATTGGTACATTTGGTCTTAAAGTTATACAGAACAAGACCCCTGAATTGGTACTAATTTTGGGAGATTGTTGAAAAATGTTACATATGTAATTCCTATTATTAAATATTTCAGAGATTGTCTTAAGAAGACTCCATCTAAACGTGTTGCAAGGAAGGATCTTTTAAATAAAGCATAAAGCAGTACCATAAATTTCATAGAGTGTATAAAAATTATAAGAAATTATGGTTGGTAAATATAGTAATTTACTTATTTCCAATCATATAACATTTCTGAGGAGTGACAATTTCTACTAAAACTAATACAGAAGTGAATGTTTCACACTTGATATCAAAGTATGTGCTGTGACTGAGATATGCATTGTTTTAAGTCTGGCAGCTATAACAAAATAGAACAATTTGGGAGACTTAAATAGATAACATTGTGGAACATGAAAACCCTCAAAGAAATAGAAGCCATGAATTAGACAGAAAACAAGGTGCACACATGGAAAACATTGGAGGGGTTAAGGAACGGGAAATGATATAACTGTATTTCAGTTTCAAAAGATTAAAAATAAAGACAAAAAGAAATACCTTCTGTATTCCTAGTGAGTTTTAATAAAGTGACTTCTGGTATTCACACCCTATGCTGTATATGAAGACAAAGGTATCCTGTGACTCTTCCTATAAGGGTATTAACCCCAATGTGAGAGGCTATACCCACATGAATTTATCTAAGCCAGGTGTTTTCCCATAGGTCATGTGTCTAGATAACATCACATTGTAAATTGGGACCCTTACAAATGAATTTATGGGGATGCAAACTGTCTACAAAACATTGGAAAAGACAAGCTTAAAGGGTCATCAAATGTATTATTTTTTTTTAGCTATCCCTCATATAAAATTACCAGAAATTTCTCACTATGCAATATAAGTCAAATAAATACTGATTTGTTTTCATGTGCCAGGCTTGTCTTCATAGTTATTTCTGTTACAGTTAAGTGCTCAATTTCCATTCCATCTGCCTACCTATGGTATGGTCTTTCCTTTGTTTCCATTGGGAAAGAAAAAGATAAATTTGGATCACACTTTAGTAATTGCCAAGATAATAGTCACATAAATTTCAGCACTAATACTAGAAAAAGATATGATGAAAATAATTTACAATAGTGTAATTTTTCTGAAATTATAAAAAAATAAAATTATTGGTACAGAGGTAATATTATTTAAACAGAAAGAAACAAAAAATAAAGAGAAATGAAAAAGGTTCTTTTGTAATAGCAAGGTTAAAATTTTTTCTCGTGATATTTGGGGGCATGATTTATTATGTAAAATATCAATAATGGTATGGAATTCTGTAGTAAAATATTATTTTAAGGCCTTTTGTTGATGTTGCATTTATTTTAACACTGAGCCTGTGTTACTTTGCCTGTCTAAAATACCTGATGACCTAGTAAAGATCTGAACGGCCAATAACAAAGCAGGAAAAAGGATAGTTGGGGCTAGCAGGAAGAGAGAATATATATATAGTGAGAAATCTGGAAAACAGCATTGAGGAGGAGCCAGAAAAGGAGGAGGACTCCAGGGTCCAGCCATCCAACTACACAGCCACCCATAGGGTAAGAGTAAGATACAGAAGAAAACAGGAAAAGCCCAGAGGTAAAAGATAGACAGGATAATCTAAAGTTAAGAAAAGTGCTGTGGGATAATGCTTTTGTACACTGGTTTAATAAAATGCTGATTGATCAGTAGCCAGGCAGGCAGTATAGGCAGGATAAGCAGACAAGGAGAATTCTGGGAAGAGAAAGGCTGAATTAGGATATATCAGCCCACTGTCCAGGAAGCAGCATGTAATGGCACACAGGTAAAGCCATGTAACATGTGGCGACATATAGATTAACAGAATTGGGCTGAGTTTAAGTGCAAGAGCTAGTCAGTCGTAAGCCTGAGCTAATGGCCGAGCAGTTTTAATTAATATAAGCCTCTGTGTGTTTACTTGGTTCTGAGTGGCTGCAAACTGGGTGGGACAGAGGAAAACTTCTAGCTACAGAAAAGCTGGCTAGAAGAGTGAGTAAAAAATTTCTTAATAAAGAAAAATGGAAAATAAATAAATAAATAAATAGAAAAAACTAAGCCAAGTTAAGGCTGGGCATTCATAATTAAGAATAAGTCTGCATGCCTGTGTGATTTATTGTGATTTATTTGGAAGCTGATTGGTGGGCCCCCAAAAGAGTAAAAAAAAAAAAAAAAAAAAAACCACCACCTCCAGAATACTCATACAATTATCCATATTTTAATATCAATATTGTTTAAAGCAATAAAAAATTATGTTTCTTACCTCATAGAAACACTCATAAAAATCAACTATGTAAATGTTAAAAGTTTCAAAAAATTAAATAGCAAAAGACCAAATTTTTTGATTATTAGTCTATATCAAAATAATGTGCTTTTATAATTTTGTCAAGTAAAGTTTTGAAATTAGAACATTCAAATGATTATTTCATTACAGTATTGAATTAAATACAAGGTATTGTTTCTCCATGACAGCTTAAGGCTTTTACATTTCCAAACTAAATTCATATATTTGTAAATAAGAAGAAAAATTGAGAAGACGTTTCTTGTGTTTCAATGTTAATAATAACTACTTGTGTTAAATAGCACCTGGAATTCTGAGGTTATTCACTTAATATTTATCCATTGATCACAATTTATTGAACAAACAGTAGATTCTCATGTCACACTGTGAACAAGGAAATTAGAGCACTAATTTTACTGCCAGTAAGAATAAGTAGGTCTCTATTGTATTTAAATAAACAAAAATGTATGTAGTTGTGAGTATATAACCTGAGTCTAAAACTTTATATAGAAGATGCTTAGGGGAAAAATGTAATCTCAACGTACATGAGGCTTATAAAATTTCATCAGTGAAATACCTAGTTTTTATACAGTAAAATTTGATCTCACTAGCTAGTATTTACTCATACTTGCTAAAGTGAAAATGCTTTCATTATTCTGTGTAGTAGTATATATTATCTGTATACCTGTCAACCTCTATATGGTATAATCACACAGCGACGAGAGTGAACCAGGTGAGCCAGACTGAAAACAGTGTACCCTGGTTAATTGTGCCAAAGATTTTTTTTTTAACTCCTAGGAAGTGTGCTCATTAAAGATAGCTATGGACTTAATTTAAAATTTAATATAAAAGTAACAAAACATAGAAATCAGCTTCCACTTAGTGGAATATTTTGAAACAGTGTTCATGGATTTCAGAAGTATAGATTTGTAGTATGTTTTATTTTTCTCTGTGTAGGTTTGGCTCACGTTTGATTTGTTTTTTTTAAGCTGAATTGAGAATTCTTGAAACAAAAGAGTCGATTCAGTGTTTGGTTTGTTTCCCTGTTTTACACAAAACCACCTCAAAGCAAAATGTGGTTGTGCGGTCGGGCGGTGGTGGCGCACGCCTTTAATCCCAGCACTCAGGAGGCAGAGCCAGGCCGATCTCTGTGAGTTTGAGGCCAGCCTGGACTACCAAGTGAGTTCCAGGAAAGGTGCAAAGCTACACAAAGAAACCCTGTTTCGAAAAACCAAAAAACAAAAAAAAAATGTGGTTGTGCATACCTGGAATCCCAGTATGGATGGGGCTGGAAGATTATTATTTCAGCACCAATATGTATTTCACAGAGTGCTCCAATAACAGAAAAAAAAAAGGAAAATGAAAATATATTAGTCCGTTAAAACAAGAACAATGAATTATTTTTTGATTGGATGGATTCGTAGTAAATAAATCTGGATGGGACACACTCACCACATAGATTGTCAAACTGGAATACTTTTCTTTTGGGAGATTTTGACAATTGCAAAACATTACTGAGGGACATGGGACACATAGATTTTTTTCCATCTCTGCATAGAAATATATTACTAGAATATCACTAAATAATGCTCTTTTGAAACTCTTGATGTTATTACATTTCATTTGTAAAAACAAAGGTAAAAAATCACTGATGTCAAAGGAATGAAATGTAGAAAGTATCTGCCACATAGATTCATCACAGGATTGTAAAAATCCTGATTTTAATAATTGACTTTTATGGGAAATATTTCTGTATTTTCTACTGTTATTATCTCTGAAATACTTACAAGATTTTAGGGTTTGAAGAAACAAGATGGAATAGAGGAAAATCACAGTAGTTGTTAGCAAGATTTCATTTATTGCTTCCTGGATACTCTTCACTGTCTTAAATTGCCTCAAAAGAGAGAATGACTTTTACCACAGAGTGTTTCCTTCATGAAGGCCCCACATGATATGCAGGTGATTTAAACCATGTGATTATGAGAATATTAATCATATGTATTTGATATTGCCTATAAATTTTAATCTTAAATAAACTAATGCATGAGTGATATTAGTAAAATTAAATTTTAATTTTTCAGAGTTCTGATGTCTCCCAGATCCTAGACCAGAGGTAAGCATGGCTGAAGATGGTTAGAGCATTTTCTTGATATATATAAACTCTGTGTTTTCTGTGTCACATATGCTAAATACATTTAGCAGCTGTGAATACAAAGTATATTAAAAATGTTACATTATACACATTTTTATTTGTAGCGGAATTGACAGAAAGAATTGCATATGTATATTATCTATTAAGTTGGATATTTGTTCTTAAATTAAGTTACAAGACACAGAAGAATGCAGGATCTACAATAGTTCAGCTCAGTGATAGTAAATACTACTTTCTCTAAATACAGAATACTGAGAATGTAAAAGGTCTCTACTGTCCAAAGAATGATCTCCTTTTCTGAAATTGGATCATAATTTCTAGTCCAGCATATTGTGTTGGCATACGTTTTAGTTTTTTTTTTTAAAGATTTATTTATTTAGTACACAGAAGAGGGTGCCAGATCTCATTATAGATGGTTGTGAGCTGCCATGTGGGTGCTGGGAATTGAACTCAGGACCTCTGGGAGAACAGTTGGTGCTCTTAACCTCTGAGCCATCTCTCCAGCCCACGTTTTAGTTTTTTGTGTGTATATATATATTTTTTTTTCAGACAGGAATTTTCTAGGTAGCCCAGCCCAACAATTTGCATTCTCTGTGCCCCAGCTTCCTGAGTGGTGGAATTACAGACCTGTATGACCATGTCCGGCTATACATTTTGATGAAAGTAATAATTTATTTCTAGTTTTATTAAGAGACATCGCATTGGGGAGATAAACTTTCATATTGCCTACAGTTCAATTATTTTCATTATTATAAAGGGGTATCAATATTTTCTGCGCCTGCCAAATTTAGAGATAAATGATCAATGCCATGAAATTTCTTGCTTGTGTTCTTGGTATACATTCACATTATTCATTTGATGCCTCATGGTCAGGAAAATCAGGAGAGTCAGATGCGTACATGTCTTCTTCCTAAATAAGTGCTTATGGGTGTTCCAAACTAGTAGCATAAATGTAAGCTTCTACCAGAAAACAGAGGATTTATCATTTATATGCATTCGAATTTTTTATTATGTAGTTATTATTTGGGTTCTCAGTGTAAATTCGTAAGAATGAATGGTGAGTTTCCATTGTGATAGACTATTTTTAAACACATGTATGAGTTTCTCTGATATTCTTTGCAAAGATTCTTCTTCAAATCTGTTTACCGTTGTTTCTTATTGGTAAAAAGATTACTTTGAATTCTTATAATTTCTCATATTGTCAGTGTGCAACTATAGCAATATCTCCTATGTGGCAGAGACCAGTGCACCAGGATTTTTTCTTTTGGGCCACCTATCAGCTCCCAAACCATGACACAGAGACTTATTATTAAGTTTTGAATTCTCAGCATAGCTTGGGCACGTTTCTGGCTACCTCTTTTATCTTAAATTAACCCATTTCTCTTTATCTACCTTTTGCTTTGGGAATTTTTACCTTTTCTTACTTTCTTGATGTCTCTATGCCTGGCTGGCTAATGGCTGCCTGGCATCTGGCCCCGGGCATCTACCTCATTCTCTCCTCTTTCCTCCTCTCATGCTTTTTCTTTTCTTCTGGAGCCTAACTTTCTCCTCCTCTTTAATCTCTCTGCCTGGAAGACGTTCCCTATCCCTCTCCTGCCTAGCTATTGCTCATTCAGTTTTTTAGATTAGACCAATCAGGGGCCTTAGGCAGGCAAGATAAAACAGATGCAACACATCTTTATAATTAAACACACATCCTTAAACAAATGCAGCATAAACAAAAGGAACACACCTTTATACAGTTAAAGTAATATTCTGAAGCATAAACAAATGTAACACATCTTTGCCCAGTTAAAATAATATTCCACAACAGACCAGAGCCCACAAATCCCCTCCAGGATATGGTGTTAATAGGATGTGACTTTCAATACAGCTTGTGTATTGAATTCATTTTCACATCAATTTTTTTTTTTGTTCATTAGTTTTAATGCACAGAGGGTTTACTGGAACATAACCACATTGTAATCCAAAGAACATTATGTATTTATAATACATAAAAAACAGTAATTTTACATTTTCAAAGAAGATATGAGGAGCATAATGTAAAAAGAAATGTGACAGAAATAAAGACAAACGTTTTGGCTGGAATATGCAATGATTTTCAATCACTTCTCCAATGCTCCATCTCTAATAACTGTCATTTTTAATTCTCTCAATTACTTTATAGACATCCAGCCACCACACTAGTAACTGTATCTAAATTTGAAAAATCTCTGTCTTTTCGGGGACAAAGAGCTTACACCCCTTAACTCAATATACACAGCCTGTTATAAATCATTCACATATAGCTGAACAATAAACAGTTCAAAATAGATGATATAGGAATTCCACTGATTTGATCACGACTCTTGCTATATGTTGTCACTCAATATCTGGTTTCAATAGACAAGAATGAGAGTCACTGAACACTATTGCACACATATTCATTAATCCTAGAAATGAGCATCCTAGCAAGGGAAAAAGCAAAAAAGAGAAGTTCCCAAGATAATGGACCTACTAGCTTGGACTATTGTTCCTCAGTCATATCTCCTATATTATTGTCTGTAATCTAAGTCTGTCTTAAAATTAATTCCTCACTATGTTAGTTTTAATCACTCACTATATATTTTCTTTTTCTTAAATATTTTACTACTGTAACAAACCTATATATTTTTAAATTACACTAATAATACAACTATGTGCTTTTCTTTTCTCTTTGTCCTTCTTTCTGTGACCCAGATAAAGTCTTATTAACAACTGGCATTGAATTATCAAAGCTAATTTCACAGAATAGTTTTTAACTAAAGGCTGGGAAAATATTTCCAAATTACCTTGACCATATATAGAGGCTGAAGAAATGGCTAGGTTGTTAAAAGAGCTTACACAGCTCTTACAGAGAACCCATCTTCAGCCCCCAGCATCCACAATGGATGGCTCACAAGCAACTGTATCAATAGCCCCAGGAGCATCTAGAGCATTTGTTCTCTGTGGGTACCTGCATTCACATGCACACACACACACACACACACACACACACACACACACACACACACACACACAAATATCAGTACACGTATTCAAGTAAAAAGAAAACATGGCAATGTATAAAACAATCAAGATTTTTTTCACACATTAATTAACCTAAAAATTTGTATTCATTTAAATACTAATTATTTTATTTGGTCCCAGCTGCCTTTGAATTGTATATCATTGTGTCATTTAAGGTAGGTCATATATTTTTCTTTTCTTTCTCCTGAATATTCTACATAGACTTTCTGATTGCTTTTGCATCATTCAGATTCTATCATACCAATCCAATTCCCTGGTAGGTAGGATTGCCTGGAGAACGCTGCATAACTTTGTTGAGTTTCCTCAGTGAGTGAGAAGAAAGCAATCAGAATTACTGCTGACAACCTCTTCTCATACATCCCTATCAACTGTCAGCACTTTTTAGAACCCTTAAAACTCATGTGTAATTTGAGATAATTTTTCACTTATTTTAGAACTTCTACATTGAGAAAAATTCGACATTTCTTTTTTAGCTCTATTCAAGCCAAATAACCCCAGGGTTTGCTATAGCTAATTGCATAGTCTTGCATGTAACAAGAGAATAGCTGATGAGGAGTGGCTGGATAAAAGAGCCCTGCTTGAGAATAAAATATCTATGATAAAAAAAAAAAACCTGTCCTATGTAGGCATAAGCTGCCTTACATTTACTTTAAATGCATGCTTTTTCAATATGTTTATGATATAATGATATATTTTTACCACATATTTTTATAAAATATACTAAGTGCTCAGCTCCCCCATGAAAGAAACACAGAGAAGTAACATATGAGCTGAACAGGTTATGTATATAATATAAATATATTTATTTACAAATATAATCTATTTTTATATAATATATAAATATATAATAATATAAAATATAGAATAAATATAATTATATATTATATATATAAACAACTAATGAAAAAGAGACCATGAATTTCAAGAGAGAGCAAGGAGGTATATATTTAAAGTTTGTAGGGAGGAAATGAAAGGAGGAAGTGATTTGTGTGAAGTGATTACATTATAATCTCAAATATTAAAATATTTATTAGAGACTTACTCTGATATCTCTCCTTAAGTTGGAAAAACACATACTAGTTGATTGTGTTAACTGAAATGTCAAAATAATGAATAAATACTATATAAATTTGTAGTACCTTGCTCATGAAACATAATCAAACCAAATAATTGTAAGACAAAGCCTGAATAATACAATATTCAAAATTAGAGGAAAACTCAAGGTTTTATTATCTTGCCCACCATGCTTAATGTTACTAAAACTGATATTATCTGTCTTTCTGAAAGAAAAATTCTTAGTGTTTACATAGCTATGGTTGCTTCTTATACAGTATCACTCCTGATGAAATATTTATTGAGATTTGAGACTTGAAAGACATTAAGTAAATAGTCGTGGGAAACAATATGTGTGCTCTTTGGTTGGCCTAACCTTCAACAAATGGACAGCTTGTATAGTTGAAAATAGGTAATGGGAAGGATGAAGAGAGTGAGACTCTTGGAAGTTTCCGCTTTCAGAAATCAGGCTGAAGAAATGTTTTCCCAGCTGAAAAGGAATTGTATAAGATTTTGACCTAATTATTCCCTCAACATTTTAGACAAAAAGGATAGAATTTTATCCTTAATAAAATTTTAGGTGTTTGATCCAGATTTTTTCCATTTTATTTGTTATTTAGAATTGTTTATTTGCATATATGTGTCTCTGTATGAATATATACTCACACATGTGTGTGAGGGAATGCAGACCCTTGAAAACAAGGAGAGGGTGTTGAGTGTCCTTCTCTATCTCTTTCCACCTACTCTTTTGAAGCAAGTGAAATTTCTGGACATTTGGTTGAAAATACAAGGAATTATTTTTCTCTCCATCCTCTGCACACGCTTGGTATCTGGAGTGATAAGCGTGCACCAGCCGGTCA